TTGCTGGAGAATTAATGTTATTTGTATAGTATTGTGACACTGCGGCGGTTGATTTGGACTAATTAGTATTAGCAATATGCTTTGAAGCGGTTTCTCGCCTATAAGAATTTCTGGAAATAAGGTAATATTTCTGAGGTCACTTATATTGAGAAAAATATGAATGAATACTCTCTGGTGACTGCCCCCACTCGCTCAGTGCGTTTGTTTTTATCGACCATGGCTACCAACTTGTGGTGAGCTCAAGAAAACATTAATAAAGACACGTTTCTCGCATTCGCGCATCACATGTATCAGACATGCCACAGTAAATGTGAGATAATTTCTTTTTTAAAAGAACGACTGCAATTTTTTAGAGTGAGTGCAATTTGTAAATAAACATTTTTATGACATTATTGTTGGTCTTTGTAAATAGAATTCTAAATTAATGCATCTCTGTTAACATTACAACTACCAATGTTTAGTTTTTTCTACGTGTCTTATGAACACAATACAGAAATGCAAGAACAAGACATAAGTATTTGGCTATTTTAAAACTTTTTGACAGGTTAAGTATTCAAATGGTTACCATTGCATACTATTCTGAAGGCGAAGAGTTTTTTGTTTTTCTGTTTACTTGGAAGCCTTATACCACAAAAATGTATACCCAAGGGCCGGTTTGCACCTGGGTTGTTTATTCTAATCAGATTTTAGATGTTGTTTATAACGGACATGTTATTTATGGTAAATCTTTAGTCAAAGCTAGTGTTCTATTCAAAGTAATATTTATCTATATATGTACATGCATTTTATGTATATTTATGTGTGACAGAAATTATCCATTTAATACATTTTTATCAAACGCAAAATAGCCTGCAAATGAATTTGGCGAAATGAAACTTTTATTTTGATATGCTCAGTCTCCAGACCACCGGAAATGCATTTTTTTCCCCATCCCGTTGTTCGTCTCATACTGCGGTCTTACGATCCCCAGACGCTGCTGGCTGCCATACTTTCGGTGCACGGCAGAGTCGGCAAAGTGTCATCACTGTTTTCGGCAATCGAATGAGAAATGTCAAACCCAACACCTCAAAATAAGCCTTCTAAGGCTGATAACCCTCGGGTGTTTCTCGACGTTGACGTCGGCGGTGAAAGAGGTACGTTAGCAGACTGTAACGTTAATTAAACCGCGATGTGTCCAGGTACTGAAAGAAATAGATATTTATTATAAAAAAATTATCATTTATCTATATTTGAGTTAGAGTTATGAGACTGTGTAATTGTATGCTAGTTAGATATTACCAGTGATGTTAGGCCATGTGCGTGTGTTGTCTGCCTAACCAATTCCTGAACATGTGCTAGTTCTGAAATCGACAAAACAGTTACATTATAATTTCTACTAATTAAATTTTAGCGATGCGTCCTCTAGTCAATAAAACGATTTTAAAATTTAGATTACTTGATAACATTGATTTATTAATACATTGCTGCATGGCTTTGCAAACTGCGACTAAGAGCCGGCTTCCAGAAAGCTCCGCAGTAAACAGCTGCTTTCCCAAGCGTCCTTGTGCGCTGTTCGGTCACAGACGGCCCCGTCTTCCCGTCTCCTAGTGGGGCGCATCGTGCTCGAACTGTTCGCCGACGTGGTTCCGAAAACCGCCGAGAATTTCCGAGCTCTGTGCACCGGCGAGAAGGGAGATGGGCCCACGACAGGGAAGCCGCTGCACTTCAAAGGGTGCCCCTTCCACAGGAGTATGTTGTGTTTTAAGTGACTAATGGAGCAGGGGGGATGTTTTTAGATGTACTGTGTCGGAGTTGGTTCAGGTAAAACTCGGTTCTTCTCCCATTCACAGTTATTAAGAAGTTCATGATCCAGGGAGGAGATTTCTCCAATCAGAACGGTACTGGAGGGGAGAGCATTTACGGGGCTAAGTTTGAAGATGAAAATTTCCACTATAAGGTAAAAAAGTAATTAAAAACTCCATCCAGTAGTTTATATATAACACAGAGAAGTGCAAGAACTCACTGCTTGAAATATCAGACATTGATGTTTGTTTTTAATAACTCTTTGATTTTTCCTTTCCAGCACGACAAGGAGGGTTTGCTGAGCATGGCGAATGCCGGGCCGAACACCAACGGCTCGCAGTTCTTCATCACTAACGTTCCCACCAGCCACCTGGACGGGAAGCACGTGGTCTTCGGACAGGTGCTGAAGGGGATGGGCATCGTCAAGATGCTGGAAGCGGTGGAGACGAAGGAGGACACGCCCGTGAAGGTGCAGCCGCCTGCAGAACGTCACGCCGCCCAGACACGCGTGCGGAGCCCAGCGCTAACCGGGTGGTCTTGTTTTTAAAGCCCTGCGTCATCGCAGACTGCGGTGAACACCGGCAGGGGGACGACTGGGGCGTCGCTCCCAGCGACGGCTCCGGAGACCTCCATCCCGACTTTCCGGAGGATGCCGACATTGATTTCAAAGACGTGGGTATCAGATGCCTTGGGGCAACTCTGTTTGCGAAAGGCGCTATTTAAAAATTAAATTGAATTTTGAATTTGAAAAATTGAAATTAGAATTTTTTGGTCTTCTATTTTTTGGTGAATCAGGATTTCGTGATGGTTTATTTCACCAATTTGATATAATCGTCTTCTTTTCTGCAGGTTAATAAAATCCTGTCTGTTGCAGAGGATGTTAAGACCATTGGGAATAACTTCTTTAAATCCCAGGATTGGTTAGCAGCTAATAGAAAGTACTCAAAGGCTCTAAGGTATGTTAGAAGGCTGTATCCGTCCATCCATCCGTCTAATCTAGTAATCAATGAATCTGGACATCCCCACTGTGATGTCAGCCAATCACAGGGGACACCCTGACTGTGATGTCAGCCAATCACAGGGGACACCCTGACTGTGATGTCAGCCAATCACAGGGGACACCCTGACTGTGATGTCAGGCAATCACAGGGGACATCCCCACTGTGATGTCAGCCAATCACAGGGGACATCCCCACTGTGATGTCAGCCAATCACAGGGTACACACTTGCACACAGAGTAGGCTGATTTAGGCCATTAACACTTGGTTTTAAAACCATAAGTATACAGCTGAGACACATGGCTGTTTACCCCTATGTCTGCCATGCGTCCCCAAGGTGTCCAGCTGACCACTTGGGTTAGTATTTTGATTCCTCGCGCAGTAACATTATCGTATCATCCTTGTCGGAGATGCACTAGCATTTACACTGCAAAAGATGTGTGGTCAAATGCGTCCCAGACCACCTCAGCAAGTGGTTTGAGCGACCGGATTGCAGTGCATCTTGGTGGTCCTTTACATTTGTATTTAGCGGTGTTCACTTGCGATTCGATCGCCCACGACTCAATTTAAGTGTAAAGGGGGCCATAGAGACACCAGGTCACCTGATCACATTTTTAGACTGGGGGGGGGGAAACGAGAGTCTCCAAACACGTGGTGGGTATATAAACTCCACACGCAGTGCACTCGGTCAGGAACCACACTGACAACCCCGGAGGCGTGAGGCCGCATTGTTACCTCTGCTGTGGGTAACCGGGCTACCATACCCGTCACAGGTACCTGGAGGCTGGAGGCGAGGCAGTGGACGACGACGACGAAGAGCTGCAGAAGAAGCTGGAGGCCATCGCGCTGAGCTGCATCCTGAACATCGCCGCCTGCAAGCTGAAGCTGCAGTCGTGGCAGGACGCCGTCGACAACTGCAATCAGGTGACCGATTCGGGGATTCTGCATGTTCTCCCTAAGCTACATGGGCTTCCTCCCACAGACTAGAGACACGCAGTTATGCTAATTGGTGTTTCTATATTGCCTATAGCCTATGATTTTGTGTGTGTGAATACACTGCCTACATACACATAGTTCATCTAGATGCATTATATTGTGTTCTATATAAAATTCAAAAGCCTATTTTCTCATCATTATAGGCACTCGACTTGAAACCTGACAACACTAAAGCACTGTATAGAAGAGCCCAGGCAAGCCAAGGACTGAAGGACTACACTCAGGCCATGGTAAGTGATGGCTGTTCCAAGTTTCATAATAAAAGCCCCCACAAACAGTGTTTTTTTGTATGTGTGCGTGTACACACATGCACATTTTTTGGTCATATTTAACTTTTACCTAACATTACACTATTCATGTTGTGCTACATTTGTTCACATTGCTGTATGTACATATTTGCCTTTATTTTTTTTACTGGAAGTATCATTGAGTTGTTTATTCATTGTACCTGTTGTGTATTCTGCTCTCTTCCATTCTAATCTAACCGTTTCAATCCTAGGCTGATCTAAAGAAAGCTCATGAAATAACACCTGATGACAAAGGTGAGTGTCTGTTGCAAACTTAGTTTTCTTTGAATAGTTCCCCCCCCCCAGTAGTTGCTGATAATGGTCAGTGCGCAGTTTTTCCCTCCCGAATGAGAAGTCTAAGACACGGGTCTGTGTTTGACAGCAATTGGAAACGAGATTCTAAGGGTGAAACAGAAAGTCAAGGAAGAAAAGGAAAGGGAGAAAAAGACGTATGCAAAAATGTTTGCTTGAAGATCGGTCAGCGCTACAGCGGCCTTCTGCAAACGCCGCATTCGGTCGCGAATCGTTCGGTCGAACAGGTGGGCTCTTCCTGATGCAGTGTCTGCTTTGCTGTACTGTATTCAATGAAGCGGTCATCCTACTCAACATTCGTTGTGCTAATCCTAACAAACATGCACCATGGTAAATAAGGCTGTGACAACACAGTATACACACTGTTTTTAAATGACAAGATGTCTGCTGTAACTTGGTGGATTTTATAGTGTGTTCCATGTACCAAACCTGTCGGCCTGAACATGATAGAATAAAAGTATTGTTGTGGTTGAGTGCTTGTGTGTTTGTCGTTCTTTTCTCATTCTTCCCTTTCCTCAAAAAGAAGATGCATTGATAAGTGATGGGTATATTAATACTGGAGCGAAAGCGATAAATATCCGAAGATCTTCATATTTAAGCTTCCTAATGTTACGTCAAACATCCATACATTGAAATAAATCAGAGTTTAATAAAATTACAGAGCTATACACATCATCTTACCATGTAACAATAGTCCTCTATATACAACTGTCCATTTGGCAATGAACAAATCGTATTTTTTTTTTATTTTTTAAATAAAAAGTCAAAATGCGGCAACATTAAACTCAGTGTTATGAGGAGTCACGATGAATAATGTGTTATTGCAGTGGGATCAGAGCAGCAGGTTAATGCCTGACGACGTACTTTTTGAAAAATCACATGCCGTTATACGCTGGTCCCCCGCTTCCCTCGGGTACCACCCAGTTAATGTTCTGGCTCGGGTCCTTGATGTCGCAAGTCTTGCAGTGAACGCAGTTTTGTGCATTGATCTGTAGCCTCATGCCCTCTCCAGACTCCAGTGGCACAAACTCGTACACCCCTGGAACGGAAAAAAAAAATGAAGTCACGATACCAGAGCTGTATCGATATCGTTGAATTGCGATTCAGCTTATCGCGACTTTTCCATCCATCTTCTGAACCTTTGCATCAACATTACTGCAGTACAGTTTAGTGGATTGTTTTATTTTGCAAACATTTTTTTTCAACATCTGCTGATTAAAAATATGCTGCTAGTGCAGTTTATGCCAAGTGCACTGCAAAGCCGCACTGCAATGACGTGACTAACTCTGAAATGTTAAAGTACAAGTTAAATATTTCTTTGACCCCCCCCCCAGAAATGTGCACTTTACCTATGAACAAACACGTGCAGTTTATGCAGCTAGGAGTTGTACACAACAACTTTAGTCAAGATACTGACTCATCCTTGGTAGATAAAGGCTGTTTATGCCTAATTACATTTGGTTACGACGGTGTATTTTATCAGTGATGGATTTTATAGTGTGTTCCATGTACCAAACCTGTCGGCCTGAACATGATAGAATAAATATATTGATCTAGCCCATAGTTAACATAAAATAAGGGCACACTTTCTACCAAAAAGTGTCACATTTTTCCGGTCCAGAGAGTAGAAATCCAGACCAAGATTTTGTTTCAACCAACCAGTTGTGTATTTTGGTTCTCAGATGTGGACCTTTGAAAACCCCACCCATACCTGCTGGACAGAATCGCTGCTCTGGCCCATCGTAGATGGCCAGGTTGTTGGCGACGGGGACGCTGTCGTCCATGAGGGTGAGGTGTGGGGGCTGGTCGTGCTCATGGTTAGTGCCACTCAGAGCTACAGAGGACAGGAGGTCGAAGCTGAGCTTCCCGTCAGGCTTGGGGTACTCGACGGGGGTGCAGTCCTTCGCGGGTTTGAGCTGCGTAGCATCCGCACCTAGACACCATGGAGAACGACGGCTCTTTGCTCAAAGTCCTCAACGCTGCTCAACTGCCCATTCTTTAGGTCAGTGTTTCCCAACCCAGTCCTCGGGGGAACTCCGGACAGTCCACATTTTTGCTCCCTCCCAGCTCCCAGCCAATCAGGGACACCGAATACCTGGTGCAGGTGCACTGGGAGCTGAGAGGAAGCAAAAATGTGGACTGTCCAGAGTTCCCTGAGGACTGGGTTGGGAAACACTGCTTTAGTTGAACCAACACACAAGCTCAAAAGACTTTCCCCAGAACAGTAGTGTCTCTCACCTATATGTTTTAAGGTCCATGGTTCTTTCCCGCGTAAGATCCAGTAAAAGATGCCAGTGTAGAACATTCCCCCATACAGTCCAAAGTAATTGTGGAATGAAGGTCGTATGTTTCTAACAGCACGTAGCTCTTTCCAAATCCAGGAGTTCTTCAAGCTGTCCTCATATCCTGGCACATGAATTCCTGGAAGACAAGTCATCACCGTGTGCAAAATGTTTTAAAATAATAAAATAAACTGACACTACCACCTGAAAGTTCTTAAGATGCCATTTTAGAATCCAAACTGATAACTAGTACAAATAAATGTATCCCAAACCTTAAAAGTGATCTTGAGCGTGGTGCTGGATTTTTTTACACTCAAAAAATTATTAAGTGTTAAAGTTCCTTGGGATACATTTTTCCAGTGAATACATATCACTTGCGGCTAAAGTTCCACATATTGTAACAAACAGGGGCAGCTGTTACTCTAGAACATGGGGGCATTTTACAGGAAACATCAACACGTGCCTTCAGAAGTTCTTGAACAACGTGCAGGAATAATTCACAGGTTTTATTTTTGTGTGTCTGACTAGAAATTGCATCTATATACTGATCTAGCCCATAGTGAACATAAAATAAGGGCACACTTTCTACCAAAAACAGTCACATTTTTCCGGTCCAGAGAGTAGAAATCCAGACCAAGATTTTGTTTCAACCAACCAGTCGAGTATAAGAAGTCACAGAGTACTGGGTGGTTGAAACAAAATCACCTGCTGCTGGACCAATGATTCCCCCCCCAAAGGGAGGATCAATAAACTCCTAAATTATAAGATAAAAAAGAAAAAATAAGTGGTTCTGGATAAAGTCATGAACCCCTACAGGTTCGTACAGAACCTGCACCATCACTAGCTACTCAAAGCCACGCCTGCTGCCGTCAGACGGGTCTGAGGATTACCAGCCGTCTCAGACTGCAGGTGTTCGTCTGTGATCTTCTGGAAGATGGACTCGGCCGCCAGCATGCCGCTCTTCATCGCCGTGTGGGTTCCTTTGATCTTCGGCACGTTCATGAACCCGGGGCTGCAGCCTATCAGCAGGCCTCCGGGGAACGTCAGCTTGGGTATGGACTGCAAGGCAGATGTCATTCTGCTATGAGGACTGCAGGCACTAGGGGGCGCAGTCAGCCTGGCTTCCACGATGCAGCCTACCTGGAATCCACCTTCATTCAGGGCTCGGGCTCCGTAAGCAATCCGGTTTCCTCCCTCCAGAGTTGATGCCACTGAAGGGTGATGTTTCCATCGCTGGAACTCCCTGAAGGGACTCAGATATGGGTTCTGGTAGTCCAAGCCAACCTAAGACGGTAGCAATTTACAGGCAGCCTTGGTTATAAATTCATGGCTTTACTCAGTCTTTACATTTGCTAGAACCTCTCAATATAGTTTCAACTACACAGGATATTGGTGTGACGAATCAAAGACAACAGATGCTGCAGGAGTCTAGACATGGTGACCCACAGAAAAATAGGACTGATAAGTGGACAGAACGCCATGAACGCCAATTAAATTTCAATGTATATTGTCATGTGTTCCGAGGAGCACAGTAAAATTCTTACGCTACAGTTGCCGGGTTTGCAGTACAGACAAACAATAGCACAACTGAAACAAATGTTGAACGAAAAACAAGAATAACAAATACGTGCAAAATGGAAAAAGTTAGGGCACAACTGAAGTGACTCCACTTTGGTGATCAGAAATACCATCGCCAAGCAAGATGTCCAAAATAAATACAGAAAGGCAAACACAGCAAGCTTTATCACGAACTCCACCCTGACTACTGACAACTTAGTGGGTGGGGCTAGCTGTGTTAGAAACTCCTCCCATCCCGAAACCATCTTACAAGTCTTGTACAGGAAACACACCACTTACCACAAGGCCCAAAGCTACCAAAGGCTCCTTTTCATTCAGGTGATACAAAAACGTCCCTCCGTACGTGTGCCGGTCCAAGGGCCAGCCCACGGTGTGTTCAACTCTTCCTGGTTTCCAATTCTTTTCATCAATAATCCATATCTACAGTAAATACAAGGCACCATTCATTACGGCAGGAATGTTTAAAAATATCGAAAATTATTAAAGAAAAGGGAATGACTTGCGACAAAGACAACGAAAGGAATAATTAGGTGACTTACAGAAATCAGCCCTGTATTTGTATCATAATAAATAGTGTAAGTGATTCCAGGAATGCATAAGACAGCACCAAACCACACGCATGGAAGGTAGGCCTACCTCTTTAAGGCCTATGGCGTAGGTCTGCGGCTGGCAGTTCTCGCGCAGGTTGAAACGTTTATACAACTGCTTTGCCAAATGGCCGTGACAGCCTTCTCCAAACACCGTCACCTTGGCATGGAGCTCCATGCCTCTCTCAAACACGTCCTGCAATCAAAAGAATGGCGCGCGTTTCATTATGAGAAAACCGAACACCTACACAATACCGTCAGATTGGATAGATTACCTGGCAAAAAGTGAAGCATCGCGGCAAGTGGATTCTTTCACTATTAGGCACCGAACGGCTCAGTTTAGAAGCGTATCTGATTGACGTAAACACTTGCAGCACTACGGGGACGCGTCGAGAAGCTCACCTTGGGCGATCCGTCTTTAGCTACCCCCACGTCGTTCGTGGCGATTCCTTTCACACTCCCATCTTCGTGAAACAGTACCTTTGATCGAAAGGGGAGATTCAGCGTAAGTAGTAATCTGAGCCCTAAGTCAGCTCAAAGAAACTACTCTGGAACACATTAGACGTAATGAATTAAACACAAAAAGATTCAAAGGTACCTCTGAAGCGGCGTAACCGGGGTATAACTCCACCCCAAGCTCCTCCGCCTGTTCCCCAAGCCAGCGCACGAAATGACCGAGGCGGACTACGTAGTTGCCATGGTTATTCATCGGAAGTCCTAGAAACACATTTCGCCCAACAGATTAAACAAACAGTTAAACAGATATAAAGGCACAGGAGCGATATAAAAACTAACAGGTGTGCAATCACGCAGCACGTCTTATGAATCCTCTGCAGGTTCCTGTGAGAGGCTGCATGTAATACTATCTACCACACGTGTGCCAGACCGGGGAAAAGACAGGAATCTCCTCCAGTACCACTGCTGTTTAGAAACCCATTACAACTTTACTTTTAATAAAAATAGGGGGGGAAAAAAACACAATTGTCCCTGGTCACTCCTAAAACAATGTCCTTAAGGTCTTGTGCATCACAAACCATGATCTTAATGTTATAACTCACCGGGAAGGATTGGAACAGGGATTCTAGACTTTTCTGTTAAAATCGCAAACTTGTCTTCTGTCACTGGTGTATTTAAAGGGGCCTAAAAAAAAGACAGTCAATATTTAAATTTCACAGAATGTAATCTCACTATTATGTAGACTCTGATTAATATACTGTAAACTACAATTCGATACAATCATAAGTGCTTGTCTGTCACTGTGAAACAAACCATTAAGCCACATATTGTCCTTTATGGTCTATCAGTGATTGCTTTCTTTTTGAAGTTTCCAACTCACTCCTCTCTCCTTCCAGTCCGGGATGAGTTCGCTGAGAGCGCTTGGCTCCAGACAGGCACCGGACAGCGTGTGGGCGCCCATCTGAGAGGCCTTCTCCACCACACAGACACGCAGCTCTTTGCCGTGCTCGTTAGCGAGCTGCTTCAGGCGGATGGCGGCAGAGAGACCGGCCGGGCCGCCACCAACGATCACGACGTCAGCCTCATCGGTGAATCGCTCCATCTCCACGCCTGCAGCAAAGTTAGTACTGCCGTCATATAAACGCAGCGAGGATCTTTACAGGCTGATTTCTGATAATCTTTGATGTTACACCTAAACACCTTTGTCACCCATCAACCACTAATGGAAAAAAAAAACAACTCAATAATCTGAAAATTTTAGCAACTACAAATCAATTAACTCCACTATTAATAATTTAAGTTCTACATCAATCAAACTTACTCTGAACCAAGCTTAAGTTTTTCAATTTCAAGTCTGTGAGTTTACTGTGTCCTAAACAGTCAGTTACACAATGCAATAAAAATCTTACTCTGCAAATCCACCCAGCCACTGGTAAACACAGTAAGCCAAACACGGGGCAAAGTAAATTGATAACGCAAATAATGTGGGCATTGCACCTTCCCATCGCGGGTCTTTGTCCCTGGGGAAGACGGTGTAGTGGGTGGTGACTCGGGGCACTGGGGACAGGGTGGACGCCCATCTCTGTGACAGCTTCTCCTTCTGCAGCAGATTCAGCACGCGCGCGCACCTGTGCACTGGCAGAGCAATACGCAGCTTTACAATGAACCGTGATAAGTCAGGGAAACGTACGACTAGACAGACAAAGAAAGAAAGCTCGCATAACATATCTTAATCATAAAGGAAATCCATCTCATAGATCATTCCTGAAACGTGTTACTATCGCGAGTAAAAAAAATCTGAATTAATATTATATAAGTTAATATAAAATGCAAAGCAGGAAATGTGCCACATAGAAAGATCGATTCAATATATGCATTTGTAAATATAGCCAGTTACGCCCACAGGAAATTTGCAAACGGCAACACAGAGCAGTAAATGACCTCGATTACGTGAACTTTACCCTACATTTATAAAGACCACTAGGAGTGCTAAGCTATTGCTATTACTCCCTACCCGAGATTTGTAACTTAACATACAAATCATCATATGGAAAAAATGGACATGCTGTTAATTTAAACCCAGTGATGTAAAGAAGTAACTCGAAACCGTATGGGTAAAATCTAACCAAATAACCAGTATCAAAATAAGCAAAAACAACGATGTGTACTGTACCTTGCTTTGCAATCTTGTTCATAGGAAACATCGTGTATTTACTAATCAAGGTCTAAAATCGTGCCAATAGGGTGGGTGACGAGGGATGGCCTTCAGGACATTTGGTCAACTAAACGCAAACACTTAGCACACAGCAACATAAGCATGGAGAAACCCCTCTCCTTCCCTCAATGTTATAAAATACATGCCACCGTAACCGGAAGTGACTTGTGCAGCAGCGTGCGTTGCGAAAAGAATTATGGGATTTGTAGTTTTTATTAGCGGCGAGCCAACGTTCCCCCCACACACATATATACTCGCGTGTGTGTGTCTCGCAAGAATATAAATTATATGTATATATAAATTAAAACATACAGAATTTAAACAAATTTTTATTCATTTTCGTCTTTTCCTATGATCAATGTAATACCACAATGATCATTACAATGCTAAATACATTATGCGTGTGCAAGGAATATTTTGCTATGATGTAACGGAAATTATCCACCAATAAATTAAAGTTCCTCCCTGCAGCACCGACAAAACGCTTTCATCCGGAGTTTAACATTGTTTAATTAACCATTACCAGTTTTTTTAATCCATCATTGTTCGGCATACGTATTGTCAATGCGTCATTGAGCTGCACTGCGCATGCGCCGAAACATTTCGCGGGAAATAAGGAACTTAATGTTGACGTTTTGAAAAAGATCACTGTTTACTCGTAGAGATGTCTGACAACTTGTCCGTTGCTTCTGAGAACACGTTTAACCTCACGGACACGGAGTTGTTAGAGGAAATTGAGGTGCAGGTAGATGATGTAAGTAGTCGACTTTCATCACTGGGAATTCCGTGCTGGGATCCTGATAGGGTCCTTCCCAGGTTGGTCGTTTATCGGTGCACGATGGTAAACGGACATTTTTGTCGCAGGCTGCGGTGTCGTTGACTCACATGCTACACGCGACCTCCGTGATGGCCATCCAAGTGAAGGAGCTGGCGGAGAGAAGTTCAGCGAACGTGCAGTTTCTCAAGGCGTGGAGAGATTTGCTGAAGGGAGGACATCATGCCGATATGCCGGCCGCCCCGGACAGCTGATAGATGCGGCAGCGCGTTATTCGATCATACATATGCAGGCCGTTCGCTCACATGTATGCAGTTAACTAAGTACGCTTTGAAATATTCCCGTAATCGTTCCGAAATAACGTGTTTACTTGTGCTTTTCAGGAGACACAGCTATATGGTATAGTGGAGTTTTTACATATCCAGAAAAAAAACTGTTTTCCCCCCATAGAGAGTGTTAAACATCGTATATGAGGGACTCACAAAACACACTAAATTAAAATTTAATTTCATACAATGGCTGATTTCATATGATGTTTTCTATCCATAAACCTTTTATGCTGAACTGAGATTTACTTGGTTAAAATGCATATTTGTATTTCACGATTCAAAGATATAAAAGTATCAGTTTCCCTTACATATATTTATTTTAAAAAGTACATGCATTTTTTGCATTCTAGGGAAAATTATGTACAATTTGCTTTAATGAAAAACGCAAATAGTTTTATCCCATTGCCTTTGTTTTGGTTTATACTACAAAAGTACCCTGTAACAGTCTAAATTATACTTTTTCTTACAGAAACCATTTGTTTTGCTTTCATGTGTTATACCCCTTGTGTGTTCTTTTGCTTAAAAGTACATTATCAGTTCATTACAATTTTTGCTGATTGGGAAATTACTTGCGTTCCTTTCATAATGCCTAAAGAGTCCTGTAATTGGTCTAAAATGCTGACAAACGATCCCTTTTAATCGAAAAAATGCTCATGAGGAATTAAGAACAAAAGCAGCTGAAATTTACCTCCCGGAATCCTAATTAAACTGCCGTAATCTTGATTGTATCATCATTGACTGTTAATTGACTCTGTGCTCCATTGATATAGACAAAAAGAAACATTAAGGAACGATGCCGGGAAAGGAGTCTTTGCAGAAGCGTTGGCATTTAAATTCCATTTACAGTTTTCTCTGGCAATAAGTCAGTCTTTCCCGAAGTAAGTGACATCTCCGAAGGATGGGCCAGATACCCTGGAGAAGACACGGTGTTGGACTCCTGCGCGGGCCACATCTCCAGCCAGGTGAAGGATGGCACGTTGGCCTGCTGCCCGTCAGCCTGGGGTCTCTTCTGTCTGTAGTTATTCCACACCTGCAGGATGGTCTCCTTGAATGGCCGTGTGGTGAGTGTGTACAGGATAGGGTTCAGGGCGCTGTTGATCGGCAGAATGAATATTACCACCCAAGAACTGATTGTACCTGTGACAGATAAACAGCAAAACCCTGTAAATGATTATTGTCAATATAAGGTATTAAAAACGACCATAATCAGGGTTCCACAATTCCGGTCCTGCGGGCCCAGAATCCAATAGTCAGCTATTTTCCAGGTTTAGTAGGTGTGTCTGAGCTGGGGAAACTGCAATCTGTGTTGCACTCTGGCCCTCTAGAACCTGAATTGGGGAACCTAAACCATATACAGTATATGTTAATTTTGGTCTGAACCCAAACACAATCACAAAGATTAAAAACAAAAATAAAAGATTAATAATGCATTTAAAGTATCATTTAAAAAAAAAAAATCTTAGGCAGCCATAAAAACTCCCATGTGTTTTTTTAAACCTGGCCATTAGCTCACCTCGTATGGCTAATCAATACCTTACTGACGGCTAAAACTATTTAAGTTGATTGCGTGAGCTTGTGATAAAATTTAACAAATATGTGGAACAGTTGAGGTGCCCCTGAGGAGAGGTTTGGGAACTGAAGCGGTGTTCGTCTAGCCATCTGGCAAGATACCAGTAAAATTTTTGGAGAACAGAGGAAATTCTTGTTGGTTTTTATGGTGTTACTCTTAATATGCGCATATTCTCATATGAAATAGTTTTTTTTTTCCTTTGACTGCCTTGAACAATACTATAGATGTAGTAAAATGATATTTTCTCAGTTAAGATAATATATCATTCACATTAAAGCTGAATTATACAGGTGTATTGTAACTGATTCAGGATCTTACCTGGTATTTCCACCTGAATTAAAGATAAAATCTTTAGAATGAAGATGGGAATCCAGCAAAGGGAGTCAGTTATAACGATGGAGAAGAACCTCTTTGCGATGGTCACCTCCTTCTTGATGTGATTGCTGTATTCTGTAGCTCGTGTCCCCGTTTTCTGAATGTTGTAGAACATGCTTCCATAGGAAAAGACGATTATAAGAAATGCCATCAAGTTTAGACCTGTAAAAGAACACGGTGATTATACACGTCATGCGTTACAAATCATGTCATAGTGAGCAAAGTTGCTTAGCGACTCAGCAGCGACATCTGCTGGACAGAAACGCATGCCAGTCATAGACAATCCTGTGATCCCCACACCGACGCAAACGAAAAATTTGGGAGAAGGAACGAATAAATTCATGACTGTAAAGGAGTGGCACTCACCAAGGAAAATGATGATGGAGTACACCTGAGCCCCAACAGTCTCTGGCTGTTCAGAGTGCAGGGGGAAACATACTCCATTGGTACCATAGAAGTTCTTAAAGAAGTTTTTGGCCACTAGGGGGATGAAGGCGATGATAAATCCCAGGATCCAGATGGCTACGAGGATGCTCACGGTCCGGCGTCTTCCGGGGGCAAGATACCGGAATGGGTAGACGATGCAGACGTACTTCTCCAGGGTGAGGTACGTGAGCAGCATGACGGACACCTCTGTGGACAGCATGGCCAGGGAACCAACCACCTGACACTGAGCGCTGTCCATCCATCTCTGGGCGTGTTGGTTATACTTCCCCCGGAACTTCAGATCGAATGCTCCAATCACAAAGAGGTACACGCCCATCAGGCCGTCAGCACCTGTGGGAAGGCAAAACTTATAGGATTTTTACTTACGCAAAAAAAATTCTGGGTTCATAGAGATAACCAATCACATCTCTTCTAGTTGCTTGGACCCACCTCCTCCACAACCTGATTGGCTATCTCTCTGAACCAATCTGTCACCAAAACATATTTGTGTAAGCAAAACTCCCATGAGCGAAGACAAATCAGGAGGTTGATGGAGAAGCAGGGCTGACGCCTGCGAGCAACATTATTCAATGATGGGGGTTTGATCCTGGATGCTAAACGGTTCATCACTGCAATACACGCAGATCTGGGTTTGAAATGCATTTCTAGCATTTAAAAAATTCATTCAACCTCCCATAAGCAAATTCAGTCAAGCTGCTTACAATTACAATAATCTGTAAAGTGAAATTTAAAGAATCACTTCTGTTTTTTACTAAAATCCATATTTTTGCATTATAGATTTTTATTAAGTTACATATTAGGCTAAATTGCATTGTTTACATATAGCCAGACAAACAGCTCAAATTTGTTTTCACTTACCAAGACCAAAAATTGCATCTAAAAATGTAGAAGACATGAAATTCATGTCAGGTCGTCCAGCTGCCTACATTGTGCACTGATGTGATTCCAGCTGAACGGGACTGCAGCTACACAAACCTCACATAGGTAATATAAGTCATGTTCTTCTTCGTCATTCACAGCTCCTCTCACATTTAAATGACTTGCAATACTTATTGTCTGCTCCCTTACAACTACTGATTATATTTGTAAGTCACTGCCATTCTCATTGTACCAAGAATTCCTGTTTACATTTGACTTATTTTGAAGATACTTTTAACCAAAGCAACGTGTGTTTTTTTTTTCAGAAAGCAGGGCCCAGCCAGTCCCTGGAGTAACTGTGGGTTAAGCACCTTGCACAAGGCCTGGTGCTGAAATGGTTCTGTTGACTATGGAAATTTTCGAGGACCAGCTTCCCATGCCAAGCTATTCTGGTATTCAGAATCACCCAGTATCTAAGCCTAGACTTAAAATTCAAATACTTATTTCATCCTATGCATAAAGCAGTTGAGTGGAAGTTGGATCCTGACCACAGAGCTGATTCTGGAACTAAGCAGCAGATGTTCTCATCCCAGATCTCCACCTAATCCTACCATTAGCTTTTCTGCGACTCGCTTTGGACTATCTCGGGTCTCTCACGGCTGCACAGTGCCTTCCTGCGTCCTCTCTTTTAATCACACCATCATGGTTTATTCCACATGGGCTATTCCATATTGCAGTTGGCTCTCGCCACTTTCATATCTTCCAGACTATTGATAAATAATGCTCTTCTGCATCCTGCTTGTGGCCACCTGGTCCCAGGCTCACAGACCTCAACATAGCATCCAGACATCTGGCTTGTGACAGAAAGGATCCGATTCCTCAGTCTGATCCAGTCAACAGACATGGTCGGTAGTTTGAAACCCAATGCAAGAGTTTCACCTCCATCAGCAGAGTCACCTGCCTCCCAGCCCCAGCAAGTATCAGTCAAGATCAAGACATTTTTACTCCATCACATTTCTTGAATGACTCAGTTATCAATTCCCAGTTTTTTCCCTGCACTGGATTATTGTGTTTTCTTGTCTTTCAGTCCCTCTAGATAAGCGCTTCTCAACCCAGTCCTTGTGGACCCTCAGACAGTCCACATTTTCGCTCCTTCCCAGCTGCCAACACACCAGTACCAGGTATTCTGTGTTCTTCATTACTTGATTGATTGCTTTAGGTGTGGTGTGACATGAGAGGGAGCAAAAATGTGTACTGTTTGGGGGTCTCAGAGGACTGGGTTGACAAACACTATTTTAGAAAAGTTGTTGCAAGTCATCTAAAAAAAAAAAATTAGATGCAATGATTTATTGATTTTACTTAGAATTTTTCACTTAATCCCAATGAACCCTTTCCACAAACAAGGTTAAAATAACCCAGAATTGACCAAAGATTGTGAGATTTTATGAGCATAGAGGAACTCACAGCAGAGGGAGATGATGCACAATGCATGCAGCTTGTTCTCGGATCTGATGTAGGACCGCATGGCGATCACGAAGACGTTGCCGAAGCAGGTGGTGGCCGAGACGACCCAGACGAAGACCCGCAGCACGATGTTGGCCAGCAGGTCCTCGAAGGAGGAGATGCCGTCGGTGTTGGGCTTGCAGCTACGCACGTGGGGCGCGTAGCCACAGTACTGGAACTTCTTGAAATATCTGTTAGAATCGGTAAACCCACCGACTGTGAATAAACTGCATTTCTGTAACATGGCAAGGGATTTTATAGCACCAGCTGACTGTAATGCTCACGGTTTTCCCTTCACGTTAAATTGTGAAGTATTGCTGCACTTTTAGATTTAATGGGCGTTAATAAACCAGTGGTGTAAAGTTTAGATAGTGCAGGTTTCAACTGTATTTAGAGCTTCAGGGATATTACAAGGTCAGGGTAATATTGTCATTCCTTTTAAAAGAAACACTGCATGGTTTATCATTAGCCAATGACATATTTTGAATCTGTGAGTGACAGGGGCGAGGCACTGAAGGACCCAATCGGCTTTCAGCTGAGGTCACTGCCCCTGTGGCTCCACCCCTGTATATATTCCTGCATGATGTAAGCAAAGGACCCAAGGCCATTAATAACTCCAAGTCAAAAACAGCACTAATACAAAATGTACATGAAAGACTTACATGTGCGTGAGGTTTTTCAGAGGTTCAAACATTCTCCTCTGTATGTTCGCGATCTCAATTCCCTCTATGCTTCTGGAAATCACAAACAACCGTTTTCCCACTGACCACTTCCATAAAAGAAAAAAGCAAAAGCCTCTATTTTAAGAAGGTATATAGCCGTGCCATTATGCGCACAGAACCAGTGACGACTGATAATTTCCTCCACTTAGTCAGAGAGCAAATTATTTTCCCTCCTTAATAGAATTAACATATTTCAAATTGTGATTTAATTTGTTGATTATTTAAAATGAGATCATATTTCAAACATTTATACAAAAGACATTCTAGCCAAAATGAAAACAACAAAGATTTTAAAACTTTCCCAGAGTACTCAGAAATATCGCTAGCACTCTGCGTGTGTCCAATTTATGGAGCAAAGCTTTATTTATGAAGCTTTAATTTTTCAATTTCCAGGACAGATTAGAAAGGAGGATTTTCCACACGGCAAAAAATTGTTTATTTAATAATGCTGGAAAACTACATAATAGCTTTGGAAGAGCAATTTCCAGAAGAGGGAGAAATTATCAGAAGTTATTAATACTGAAACGTTTTTTTAGTGGTTATAGGAGCCCTTGAAGATATTAATTTTACTGGTGATTTCATGCATGGTGCCACGTCCTGAAAACAGCTTCTGAAACATCTTTGATGTCTGACCTTAAGTGATGCTATATTTCCTTCAGTCGAGCAAAAGTACTCGGTAAAGGAATATTTGCAATAAAATGTTGCAAAATGTGGGCAGTGGTGGCTTGATGGTTAGGGAAGCGCACTTGTAATTGAAAGATTGCAGGTTCGAATCCCCAACCAGCAAGGCACCACTGAGATTCCCTGAGCAAGGTACTGCACCCTGGGAGCTGAATTAGCTGCCCCCTGCTATGTCACGATGTCACATATGGGCTAAATGCAGAGGACACATTTTGTTGTTGTGTGCTGTGGTGTGTCAACACTGATCACCAAAAATGCTTGACATATTTATCTATGCATGTGCATAAAAGAGCCAAATTAAATAAACCAGGAAAGAAACTCACAGTGATTTTAATTTATGCAGATTATCAAAGTGGTCCAGCTGTAACTCCAAAATAGGGTTATATGATATGTTTCTATAAAAAAGAAGCAGATAATTACCAACCCATTCTGTTATTGTAAATGATTATAAAATTATTATTGTAACGATTACTAAGAATTATAAATACGATTAATTATTGCGATTTAAGTGTGCGCTCTACCGACAAATAAAAAAATACAGAGACTTACAGCTGTAGTAGCTCACCAAGATCGACAAATAAATTTCGAGGTATCGCTTTGATTCTGTTGCTGGATAAATCCCTGAGAACAAAGAGAAAAAAAATCAATTTGCAACGATATCATGAATAAATAAAGCTCAATTTCCATCGCAACTGTACTGCTACCTCAGAGGAGTCACATGTACCTCAGCGACCCAGTTATTTAGCTATTATTTAACTAGAACTATGTAACTTACTCAATGTGTGGTGACTTACTTTGAACAAGTAAATATATTATTACTAGTAACCAGGGTCGTAGTTAGAAATTCTGCCCTCCCTGAGAAAATGTTACCTTGGGCACCGTGCCCATTAAAATTAATTATTTTATGAATTCAGGGGTCTCTCTATCGTGCTGCCCCCCTTTATCTGCCAGGGTGCGCTTGCTTGTGACAATTAGATACTAATCATAAACATTAGTATCACTTGGCTATAACACCCTCCTATGCAGCATGGAAGGTTAACTGTCTATAACCAGAACAAACTAAACATGTAAACTGTCATCCTGTAAATGAATCAAAATAAACTTACAGTTCCCCAAGCCTTCTCAGAGATGAGAAGGCCTTTTCGTGCAAGTCACTGATTCTATTCCTCTGAAGAACTCTAGAGAGGTCAGACACAGAGGGACAAAAATCAAATTGCAATCAAATTCGCAGGGAAGTTTGGGAAACAGACGTTCCCCACAATTGCATTTTCTGGGGTCTTCAGCAAGGAATGTAGTTTACTTGAATTACTTCAGCAAAATATCCAGGTACATACGGAGTCACAACTGTGAGCTGCTGCATGCTAAACAACTTTGGGGAAAGTTTGTTACATTTTGGTTTGGTGAAAAACCCTAAATCGGCTGGATAAAATAAAAAGCCTTTCATTGAAGATCAGTGGGTAGAACTGATAGTTCAGTTTTAGACTTGTGATTGTGAATTCCACTCCAAACTGTAGCTGTGAGAGTTACTTGTTTGCACTATGTGTGTGTGTACATGCGTGTGTGTGTGCATGTGTGTACATGCATGTGTGTGTGTGTGTGTGTGTGTGTGTGTGTGTGCACTCAGCGCCCAGCGACAGGATGTGACTGAATATGCTAAGCAACTTTACATCTTCCCTACTCAGGTGTATATATTCTGCTATGATATCGGAAAAGGAGAGAACTTGCTCTTCTTAGTTTGATACATTTTAAAGCGTTTAGTAATATGCACTTACAGCACGGTCAGCATATTACAGGAGCTGAAGGTTACTTCTCCTACGCTCTCGATCTGATTCCCCTCCATGTCGCTGAAATGATACAAGTGCTTGAAATGAAAAAGACGACTCCTACCTTTACACTGCAGGATACAGAAAAAGAAATGTTGCATTATTACAATTAATGTTTGTTGGGTTTCCTCTAAGGTTCGGAAAATGGGGTAACAGGAAAAGGACGTACAGCCAGTTGAGTTTCGGCATCCCCCGACATACGGCGTCATCGTGTAGCTGGCCGAGAGAGTTGTTAAGCAGCACCCTTTGACAGAAGAGCCCTCTGTTACCCACAAAAGCGTCAGACCCACATAAGTCACTGTCAGCTCAGCAGGAAGAAAAAAAACATGAGAAACTTACAGAAGCACCAGCGAATGTAGCCCAGAAAAAGTCAGCGAGGAAATCTGGCTGATTTTGTTGTTTTCCAAAATCCTGCAATTAAAAAGAGGCGAAAATCGCGAACGTTAATTGCTGCTGTTCCTCCCCTGCAATTATCTGTAGCACATCACGTAACTGAAATTACAATTGTGAATTAAAATGCAACATAATAACCAATGATTGATATTCCTACTGCTTATCCTGAGCAGCCCTATCCCACAAAGCACAGGATGTGGGGAGAAAAGTCCAACTCCAAACACAGAGAGTGGAAACAGAATTCAGTCCCCCAGCCCTGGAATTGTGAGGTCATATTGCTCTCCACGGAGACACTGTGACATCATAATCAAATGAAAACAATCCTAGAAAATCAGAGAACAAAGGAAAAAGAGGTTGTGCAAATAGAGGCCGAAAACAGAAAATATAAACTTACAACCACTCCAGCTTATGAAGATCCTGGAACACTCCTGGCTTCAGAGTCGATATCTTATTGTAACTGAGATATCTGCTTGCAAAGATGAAACAAATTGAACTGTACCACAACAAAAACTGAATTTATATTCAAGAAAAAGAAAATCTCAATGTGCCAAAAATATTATTTTTTATTATTATTATTCATTTATCATGTTGGCAGCATTACTATGGATGGTGTAAAAGATTCAAAGACCCCCCCCAAAAAACGTCCTTCAGGAAAGCTACCACACCATAGTTTGACGTTAGTATGATGCTCTCAGTCATACTTTTACTTCTGTTGTATCTGTAACATGTATGTACTGTAGGCAGATTTCCACTGCTAAATCATAGCAACTCTGTGAAATATATATATATATGTGAATTTGCAAAGGTACATGGGATAAAAGATACATGTTGAACTCACAGGCGTGTTAAATTATACAGTCCTCTGAACGCACTGGGACTCACGGCTCGAATCTTGTTATGCTGCAGATATCTGAAAGATAAAATCTAGCACTTCAGAGTCATCCATGCGACACAATCGCTCCAAGAATTCAGCACGCGATGACTGAAACATGAAATCTCTTCAGGGGGAAAGGGATCAAACTGTCAACCCATAAGATTCCGCTTATTGTACAGAAGTCAGGCTTTACTGTTACGCTTTGAATTGTGCTGTGTGACGGCTACAGAGCAATGAGACCCATTTCTGTGCCGTTCGCCCAGTTCCAAGTGAGGGCTTTAACCCAAAGAACATCAACACTGCTCAGCAAACATGACGAGTTAAAATATTTAAATGGGAGAATATTCCCTGCAGATAACAACCCCCGAATCTTTGTGCGATGGCTACACATGCAGGGAGAATATAAATTCGGCCTTCCGGCTGGACCTTAAACGATGCATCCTTGACAGCTGCATCAGGTGATACCAGACGTGTTAATAACATAATTACACGGCCGTCAGTAAGCTTCGGCATCATCCTAAATAAAGTTTCTGAATGTTGACTGTCGTATATCCATAGGTGAACATCCCACCCAATATTCAAAACAGTGGCGTTGGTCCCACCCAACATTTTCCAGGATTTTGCTTTTAAGAATATGAACAAACTTATTGGGAGAATTTGGTTCTCATCTAACCTACTGACTGAGGAGAAAAAAAGCTTTTAGCTGATGATCTCAGTTGCATACGCATAAACGAATGCATACAGTCAGTATTAAAACAGATGAGCAGCCTATATACAGGTATACATACAAGGTCATACAGGATAATGAGAGAGGACGGGTTTGACTCAGTCATGACAAGCCGCCTGAATCAGATGCCAGTAACATTCCAGATCAAGTGCGAGGATTTAAACAATCGACAATGTTGGAAAACCTACAGCTTTTGCAGACTGTTGTAATTGTAGAATATATCAGCATTCAGCTTCTTCAGCCTGTTCCTCTGCAGAGACCTGAAATAAAAACAGATAAATATTAATAAGTGTTTGATATTAACTAGTATCGCCTAAAATTGGTGCCGCAAAACAGGCAGGGAACTCCCGTGTCTGCGCTACGGTTTGTCTCTCTCCCCACCTTTGTTCATTCTCGATCACGCGCACCTGTCCGTCGGTCATTTCTAACAGGTGAGCTGGATACTGTACATCCAATGCAAACTAAAAACAGTCGATCTTTTCCGACGCTTTTGGCAAGAGCAACTTACAGTTTTATCTCTGTGTTCCTACTGGTGGAAATCAGAAACTTGGAACTAGAGTTCTGGTTCAAGTATTGTGAAAACTTGATTAATTAAGTTACCGATGCAGAGAAGGCAAGACCTTGGGTGTATCTCACCTACAAGAACGCAAAGACCGCGGCACGGCTGGCTTCGGTACTCACATCATAGTGACAGTCGGGGACACGGAGGGGACGACCCGGAGCTGAGTGCCGTCACAGTCCAGTTCCAGCCCTCGGCAGTGACATTGGTCGGGGATAGTTCCAAGCACTGAGGAGGATGCAGGGCATTAATTAAGTCAGGGAACTATGGATTCACGACTGATTTCACTTAATTTACCCGCATCTATAAAACACAAGGACATTTCACCATTACTGTTTCCATCCATCTTCTGTACTCGCTTGTCCTACGTAGGGTTGCGGGGGTCCAGAGCCTGTCCCAGAAGCTACTGGGTCCGGGCAAGGATCAACTCAGGATGGGGTGCCAACCACATGCTGGGCACACTCACACACTGTAACAGAATCTGCCAACTCCAATTTACCTTAGCATGCTTTTTGGGCTTTGAGAGGAAACCCCAGAGTGAGAACAAGCAAACTCCACACATATAGAGACTCGAACCCTGGTCTTCAGTGGCATGAATTAACTGTGCTAGGAACCACTGCACCCCACTGCTAATATCTGCCATTATAAAAAGTTATATTTAATATATATATTCAGCATATAGTAACCATGAGACCTGGTGATGCACCAATGATGACGATCAAAACAGTAAAATCACAGTATACATAGTTAGCAGCACATGCTTCTGAAACTGGCTGGAAAATGATTATCTAGAGCCGGCATCTGTTGGCACAATAAGGGCCCGTGACATCATCCAGGGCCCCGGTCACCCCGCACAGCCACTTTCTCCCCTCTTCCCCTCGGACAGGATGTACAAAATCATCAGAGCCCCTCAACCATAAGGTTCAGAAGCAGCGATTACCCACAAGCCAGGAGGCTATTCACCACCTGCTTATTATAAAATGTTAGGGCACCTATGGGATAATCTGTTGATCATTTGTACACCCTGTTTATCATTACCGCTTTTCATGTTTTTGTGGTTTGGTTTATTTCATGTTAATTTTCGTGAATTAGTCAGTGTTGTTTACCGTCCTCATTACTCACTGTTCCTGTTTTTCTTAATGTCTAATGCTGTTACTCAGCGTTACTCTCTGCCAGTGTACCATTGACTGACAGTCTGCAGGAAGCATTACAGTTAGTATCTCATTGTATTACTTATATGTAACTATGAACTGGAACACAAGTAAGTACTGCGTGGCCTAATTAGCATGTACGTGCAGGTATATTTACACAGTTTAGTTACCACACAGCACTTTAAAGACGACCCACTTTCTACATGCGGTTAAGGAACAAACTTTGGTTTAATTATGTGCTTTCTGAAGTATTGCTTTTGCTCACTAGAGGCCCTTTAAAAGAAAGTATGAATGCCCTAGTAGAAATAAATTAAAAAGAATTCAAATTATGCAGTATTTTTGCATTTAAATATCCAGTACTTTGATGTAGATGGCCAAATTACATAAACCAGAAAGTAACTAAGAAAAAAATCACAGAAATAGATAAAACAATGAAGATAAGCATTAAATAATCTGCTGTATATAATTACACACAATTATTGTGATCTTATATATTATCCAAATATTCATGCCAAAACAGCTATCCTGAGTAAACTACCTTAGAGTGAGTTTATAAAATATTGGCTTTGGTGTGTAGTGCATAATACTGTGCTTGATCAGCCTGAATTATTTTAGACACGTCTTCATATGTAGCAGACTGTTATGCCTTAGGGATGAAGGAGTTGAGGGCAGGCATTGTATCGAGTCAGAAGGGGTTTATTTGAATTTTAACGAACAGGGTAAGGAAATTAACAGGGCTGCGAGGGATCAAAAACGGGAGGACTGGAAATTAGGAAGGGCATAGGCAACAGGAACTTCAATGACTGGACTGGGGTACTCGGGACTGGGAAGCAGGTAAATACGGAACTAACAAGGGAGCTAATGAGAGGCAGCTGGGAGTGATTAACATGCTGCTGTATCACTGTTCCTCTGCCATCAGAAGCAGCACCAGGACCTGCCTGCCCCCCGCTTTGAGATTCAAATCTTAAAAGTTGGACAGTGTGAATTAGGACTTTGCCATCTTGCTCATTTGAGGATGGGCTCCCCCTTTCAGTCTGGTTCCTCCCAAGGTTTCCTCCTTCTAGAGAGTTTTTCCTTGCCACTGTCGCCTCTGGCTTGCTCACTGGGGGCTTTGGGCAGGGATAATGTAAAGTGCTTTGAGACAATGTAATGCTGTGAAAATGTGCTACACAAATAAAATTGAATTGAACTGATGATGGTTAGGAACGAGAGGTAAGAAATGAGGAAGAGGCGTGGTTTGCTAGGGTCACACTAGGGAGGAAGCAGGAGGGTCAAGTGGACAGGAGGATGCGGACTATGCTTGGCTAAGTATATTACTGTATACTATTTTCATGAAAGTGTTTCATGAAAATGAACAGATAAGCATTTAGGTGTGAAGTCTCACATTTTACACGTGAGATCCATTGGTTTTTGTGGTGCACTTAAACCAAGCATAAATATTTATCTGTATGCACATAAAAGTTTCAGGCACCCTCTTTAGACTCTCTGCATTCGATCGGTACATATCTGTACTGAACCAAAAGACCCGTACCTAAAATTTTCGGTACGAATGTGTGTACTGTTACACTCCTGTTCTGTATTCATAAACATTTTTGGTCAGACTGTTGTTTCTGTTTAATTGCTAACATAATTTTGTAGTAGTAATAATAATAATAATAATAATAATAATAATAACAACAACAACAACAAGAAAGATATATGCATAATGAGTCTTTTTGATGGCTCACAGTTTTCATCGAAACGTACAAGTATTCCGCCACCAAACTCCCTCTTTTCATTGCAGTGAGGTTGATATGAATCCAAACATTATTTTCCACACGACAAGCTACTTACCTATATTTATATTAACCTTAGTGTCGAATGTAAGAATACCCACACTTACGGCATTTGTTTGACTTGATTCCGAAATCATCACTGAGGATCCCAAAATAATTGTCAAAGAGATTCGGCCATCCGTTGTTATCACCTAGGCAACAGAAAGCAGGACAGTGCAATATTTTAATGTCTTAAAACCTGAATTTGTGTGGTTACAGTTCACAAATAATATTGCATCTGTCATATCATTATAATGTACTAGACTGGCGTCCCATCCAGGGTGACCCCTGCACCGCACCCAGTGCATCCTGGGATAGGCTGCAGAATCATGTGACCATGATACGGTCTGGAAGAGACGCAGGCAGATTTGTTAAAGAAAAATTAAAAAATGCTTTTTGTCAGATTCATCCAAAGGCTTTTTACTATGTGATCATTCTTGGTATAATGTTTTTAGGGTTTAGATTCACAATGCTTTTAAAGTCATTCAGAATAAAAGTTGATAGCATAACATGAAGCAATCCTTGCATATCATTGTAAAGATTCTATCACTGAATTTGAAGTTATAGGTTCATGCTCTATCATGATATAACTGATTTTTGCATGAAGAAGGTGGATGAGGTGCTACACTTCATTTTTTCCATTTTCAATATTATTAAATCAGAGATTAAAGTGCAAGTTTTGTGATTCCTATAGTGCGACACTGCACCACAATTGCTTCAAGAAAAGAAGGGAAAATGCATAAAACATATTGGAAAACTACAGCGATAGGAGCCATTTAACAATACCCACAAACAATTTTAGAATAGATAAGAAAAAATGTCACGTAAATAATATGACAACCTGACCTAGACAAATGGATAAAACGTATGAATGGAAATATGTAGCAAAAATGCATTATATAGATAAAGATGGTGCGTGATATTGAGTGTGTTGGTCATTTCATTGCAAAACTGCATTTTTCAAAAATGAAATCCACATTTAACAATTTGTAGCCTATTCCCATCTATTCTCTTTCATAGAGTCACAAAAAACAGATGAACTGAGTTTCCATTTGTTATTGTATCAACTCGGAACAACCTAAGATTACAGAATTGTTTTTTTTCCAGTGTTTACGTTTATTTTTTTCTGTTCAGTCTTTCCCGATAGGCTACCTAATCGCGCTGACACTCACCGCAATATTCCTCGTCCGCTTGGTTGCCACAGTCGTCCACGCCATTGCAGTGTAGCAGCTGCGGGAGGCATTTGGTCAAATTGCCACAAGGGAAATATCCTAAGGGGCAGCTGGACTTATCAGGGAGGCTGAATGAGGTCAGGGCAGCTGTAAGATCAAAACAGGGCCAATCAAAAGCTTCTCCAAGTCAAATGCATTCATTAAGGCAAATATATAACATGCAAAACACATTAAGTTTTATTATTATTATTATTATTATTATTGATTTTTAAGTTTTGTGCCTTTGGTTGTCGTTTCTCTGGGCTGTAAAAATTAAATACCATCATCTTTATTTTATAGTATATTTTCAAATTAATTATGAAGCTTATCAAGGCCCCTAGGCAAAGATTTACTTGGGAGAACCCCCCCCCCCAATAATTCATCTTTACCAGTAAGCCATAGACTCTCACTATTTCCATGCGATTTATTTGCATTAATTATACATGCCCGCGACCCAGCCCAGGATAAGCGATTTAAAGTCTTTAAGGGATTGATGTATTATTGCACATACATGTCGTGGCCTAAAACACTGTCAAACTGACTCCACACAGCACGTTAAAGTAGCTTATCATGAACAGCAGAAGCAAACACCAGAGATTCAATTATGTAATTGCCATTAAGCCTATATGATGATAATGAGCAACACCCTAGTGGAGAATGTCAATGTTTACTTCATGGGGACCTTTGTTTAAAAACACATCTACTGCAACAAACAAAATTCAGGAAACGTTAAACCCAGGCAGTGCCAAAGTTGTGATTAATCGCGTTTCTTAATGCGATTAATCATGTTTCTTAATTTAGGAGTGTCATGTCAATCAAAATGTTTTTCTAAGCATGATACGCAACAATTTACATATTAACTAAGTACTCCAGGACACTTAAGACACAAGTCAATCATTCAAAATAATCAACATAACTTTAAAAACTTTAAAAGCTAGTATTTATTCTAGTCTTATAGACACCACTTTAACCCTTAAGGACCCACAGTGACACTGGTGTCACCGCCCCTTTACAACTTACAACCCCCGTAATTTTCATGAAAGTAGAAATAGGTCTGGGTTCTTAAGGGTTAATTAAATGTGGACAAGACTGGTCTAAAGTCAATAAAGTTTTTTCCTGTTTTATTTTTACTTTGGGTGTTACTTTGCTGACCTGATTAATGATTAATGAATTACAATAATTAAATTTTAAATATTATGTTTCAATTATGTCTATGACTAAATCATATTGGCACACAGCAGTTAAACTGAATAATCTATAATACAAAATAGTGATGTACATTCTGTAAATCTATAGCTAAATATATGATTTAGCCTTTCGTAAGAGAAAAACACATTAAAATTCAAAGAAAAGAGTACCAATGACCCACATACAGCCCCCACTGGGACAGATAAAAGATAATTTCACATTATATTGATACGACTAACCTGTTACGCGGTACAGATGGCTGCTGACGGCAAGGAGCCAGAAGAGCGACGGCGGCATGGTGCGGAGAAGGACGAGCGAAGCGCCGCCGGCCGGATCCGCCAGCGGAATGAGGCGCAAAGCGCAGCGCTCCATACCTCCCTGCTACCGCCTGCTGACGACACTGCGCCCCCCCCCCTCTATCTGCCGTTAAACTGGAAACGTGATCCGGGGTTTACTGGTCATGCATCAATACAGCGTAATAAAATAATCCCAAAGCTGGACATCAATTAACATTTATTAAGCAGCGTATTCTGATAAATAGCCATGCAGCTATCAATGTACATGTAAACTTCCATAAAACGTAACTCAGCTAATATATTTAGGTTATACATATGCATGTTTATGAATTTCATTCCTATAACAAGTTAAATTTTATCATACTGCAGTGACTGATTGGGTTGTTCCGTTGATGCTCTCGGCCTACGGCTTAACGCATCATTTGCGCTGACCAGCAAACTACAGAAAGGCTTCTGCGAAAGAAATAAATGTCATATAAATGTAAATTCAAACGGTAAATTACAGAATGGCCTCTACAAATATTTTGTCCATATACAGTACGCTAGTTAACGTTTATCTCTATTAATACCAGCTAACCATCCTATCGATCATTATATAATCAGTTATGGGGAGGCATTAAGATACTATAGCTATAGGTCTTTGATGAGTACTTAAAAAAACTGACAGCTACATTAACAAGTTATATTCACGGACATAACACCATGCATGTACGCAAATCCTAATGTAAAGTCTGTCTTTTTATGTTTTTTTCCAGTAAATAATAACAGTACCGATAAGGTGGTTAAAAAAAAGTGTTCCCGGTGACATCCCGCCAGGCAATATACCGAACGACATCGCCTCCGGAATAATATGAGTCTGCGGCTCCACCGTCACGCATGTCTCACTCCCCGGCGGAGTGGCATGGCCGCATGGGAGCGCCTTTCGTGCCGGGTACCGCGTCAATCTTACGCCCTCACGTGAGATGCGGAATCACGGGGACCTCAGTCAGAGGCAGTCTGTGCTTTGCCCAAGCTTTAACTTAGGCCTTTATCAGTCAACTTAAATGGCCACTCCTTGGTTATGCAAAAATGTAGACTAATCATGTCTCTAGTACTGCGCTTTTATACTACTACTGACTTTTTTTAAAAAGAAATTGAATACTCAAGAACTCATTATTACTATCATTTACTCAATTAGCCAGCTAAATAAATCTCATTAAACATCAGGCTGTTGTGACGATAAAGTAGCCTTTAAGTGTCCGCAGCTACTGTACTTACGCCTGTTAAAGCTTTATTCTGGTAACTGGTACCCTGTACATTTTCACATTCCTTCATTTTATATGCATTAAATTACGAATCGTATATTAGAAGCGTAAAGTTTCAGGAACGAGTTTCAACTGCGTGAAATTTCTGCAACGCTGATCGATCAGAGTGCGGGAGGACAGCGGTGTTAAGGGAGTTTTATTGCACTCGGCTTATTGAGATAACAAAACCGACCTATTCTCCATTTTGCTTCTAATTAGATGCTAGACGTTAGCTTTAAATGAAAAACTATGCCTTTTATAAAAATGGAGGGCTGTCACCAAACCGACAAAACAGGTTGGTGCTGCACAAGCCAGTGAGCACCGCAGATGGGATTCCAATCAATAGGCTGTTATCTGCATCTAATATTAAGAGGATATTAAGTTATTAAGAGGATTCTGACCCCATCTCCTTTTCAAGAGTGACTTTTTCACCCTATAAATAAACAATTCTCTCCAACACCACATGGTTTGTCTGCAAGAAAATTGCCACCAGAGGACGACTCACTTTCCAATCTTGTCGCCTGGAAGGATTTCAGCTGTCAAAAACACAGCGTGAGGCTCCCATCATACATACTGCTAGGACTCACCGCAAGTGGCCATAATCTTGCCTCGCTGTTGTGTTGGCTTTAGCGCGTATGTTTACCGACAAGGACAGCATAGTCTAGCAAGGTAGTCTGGCTTCACTGTGATGCTCCAGTCGTCGCTCACAGTGTCACTCAGTTCCTCTTATGCATCTCCTGTGCCCCCTCCCTTATTATTCTCTGCCACCCCCCGCAATCCTGCATAGGACAATATAGAAAAACAATACAAGAAATTAATGAATACATTACTGTTTTTGTTATATTGTCAGTATGTAGCATGTTTTGTAGGGAAAGGCAAATTACTTGCTGATGCAAATGAAAAATATTTTCAAGAAGGAATTAGACCCTATAAGACCCACATACTGTAAGCACAGAATTAAAATTTGAGGATTCAGGTATTTTTATTTGTCATATGCAAAGCATAGGTCTTCAGTATACCTGCAGTTAAGTGAAAGGAATCCATAAGAAAGCTACAGTATAAGGAATGGGCCCACATAAGCACTCATCACTGATGGAGAAACAACGTGAAACAGCCTCCTCACCATAAGGGAAGCTACAGTGGTTTTAGACTCACAAGCCAACATACTAGGATTAAAATCAACCTCATCCATCCCAGAAAACTTAATTTCTTGCCGGCTTCCCAGTTGAACTTTCCACAGCTGTCTGAAGTAGGCTAAAGCAGATGGAACAACCATAAACATGATGAACAAAAAAAAGCCTTCTTATAAAGGAGCTTTGAAGACCATTGCAAGTTTCACAGACTGAGCCGCTCGCACCTTTCAGCTCATGGCTGGACACTTCTCAGGTGGGCGTGTACCACCATGGAATGATGGGAAGGGGGATGGGTCAGGCTTAGCCAATCCCCTAGCGCCATACACTACAGTATTATACAGCAACTCCCTGATTAGATTACTAATTATAGGACTGATTGGCTGAAGAGTCCTCACACCTAGGTTTGAGCAGCTGACCTACTAGTTATCCCAAAAATCTGCATATACACACTGGCCCTTTGCGGATAAGATTACCCACCCCTGTTATACAGTATGTGCTTATGGAAAATGGTAAAATTTAGTCGTGAATACATACACACGTGAGCGAATTTCAAGACACTTTGAAATTACTACAACCTATGAGATTTATGTCCATGTTCATTTCAGGTATTTGGTCGTATTTGTGGGCAACATCACTCATGAACGCCAGATGGCACCCGGCATCAAAACTATATTCGGCACAATTGGCAGCATACGGTAATATTTTACTGTCTTGTTCTTTCCATTGTACCATTAAAAATGTAAAGGGGCGTCTGTACTATATAGTTGAGTCAGTGAAGAATAAATGTGGAACTGGAGGGAGAGGCTAAATCACTAGCTACATTTCGATAAATGCTGGTGAAGTTACTGTTTATTGGGTGCCGACTTAGTCCCGGTGACTTTGCAAAGGCAAATGATCAATGTTTGCCGGGGCATGAAGCGTAACTCACCCTGAGCAGATTAATTACATTATCGGGGAATAATGCAGTTTTAAGATTACCATTGTGGGTGGTTTACTTCTCAGTCGGTTGGGAATTTTCACTGCCGTTCCAGTTTCCTTTATGATCCCTTTGCTTTTTTCACGAGCTTTCAGCTAAATTTTAAAATTGTAGTTATTATACAGTTCCCCTCCAAGCCTTACCATACTGTGCTTTCTTGCACACACGGTAAACTTTCCGTTATGAACTACAATGAATTCATGTGAAATGACGTCGTATTGCTGTTTAAATGGCTGTGATACTTATTTAGAGTTTTAGATTTTAAATCGTCATTTGAGATGCAATTTAAAACTTCCAGTGGCTTTCCATTGTTCTGTCTGCTGTGGGGATTTAGCATATAAATGATAAATATTAACAAAAGCTTTTCATTTGGCAAGTAAATTGCTATGACCCCCTCCTCTGTATGATTTCACTATTTGGGGCGAAACAGGCTTGATTAATGTAATGTTATTTAATTTAACTGGGTGTCACAAAGTCACGTCGCTCTTGCGCTCATACTGGTCTTTAACAAAGAGCAACTCCTACGTTTATTACTGCACTTTTATAATGAGATGTATTAGTATTACCGTGTTCTTCCAATGTCTCACAAATATTTCGACCATAAGTGTTGCCTGGACAAATAATGGAGAAGCGCAAAAAACATGCACATAAGGAAATAAAACAACTGTTACCTAAAAAGCGCAGGTGGAACCAATTTACAGAATCAATGACTCTCTAAAGAAACTGTCTCTCTCCAGATAGCCAAGTCACTTTAAGATAAATGTCGGTCTGTGTTGAGCAGTGCAGTAACTCTAGTCAGACTTCAAATTATTAGGTTTATTATTTGCTGGATCCGTATTATTTTTGCTCCGATTATTATGTTATTTTTATTATCATCCTTGCCTGGTTATTTTCCTATCGGTCAGACCGTAGCGTTTTTACCACCGTGAAAGAACTTCGAAAATCAAAATCGGATCCAATTAGAGAAACGTGACGCAATCGTCGCCGTCAGTGGTGTTCTAACAAAATCACACACTACCAGTCTAATGGTTTTACCAAATGCCCTTCAAAATTCCCTCGGCACATCCTGACTTGACAGCTGGGGCTATGTTGCAGCTGGATTTCCTTCCAGCGCTGCCACAATCAGGGCACTGTTATTCCCGAGCATTCAAGCAATGTCCCAAGAATAAATGAAATTCTCGTTTTGTTTATGATGGTCATAATGCATAAGTGATATATGCTCAATCTGTATGTAAATATTCAAATTCTTCACCAAGTGCATGATTTCACCTGCAGCCTGAGGTGGAGTTTGAAAGGGCAGGCAGTACTGGATGGTTTCCAGATAATTCCACATGAGTAAGGGAAGGAGGTGCTCAGTAGGGTGGTTGGCTGAATAGGGCAGTTGAAACCTGGACCCAAAGAGTAATAGTCTGAGGCTCTACCAACTCAGACAGCCTCACACAACTTCTGCCCGAAACCATGACTACCCACATTGCCCATCTGCATGATCCACTGTCCAGTAAGTGATAACCCTGTCACATCCCACGGGCTACTTTCCGCCTTTTTCTACCTTATCCTACATAAATTTTCCATTTAAGGTGACCACACACAAAATGAAATGGAACATGTCGGCTAGAACAATCGATAGCATACTCAAAACGA